TCATTCGTAGGTTTAAAAAATTTTAATCGCGTTGCCCCGTAGTGCCTTGGGTCTAAATGTCATTGTTGTTTGTCATCTAGTACTTTGTATTATGTCCCCTGAAAATGGATCCAACTGAATCCGCGACGTTGGGAGTTTATTTAATAAATTGTTGCAAAATTATTTAGGAACTTTCACCGGCATAAATTATTCAAGTATCACCTTTTAAAAGCATATCTATTTGTATAATTCTTTTATGGAAAGTTGAAAACCAGTTCTGTTATACACACAGGGAATGCATTCCGCTGTGTTTAGAATGAAGCTCTTTTTAACCATCAATAAGAATAACACAGCGACTAGCTTTCCGAACAAATTTTTTATAGAATGTTTTTCGCAGATTGTTCTACTCGGTCGCTGAGCGGTTTGATACTGAAAAACAACGTGCGCACCATGTGGGACACTTATCCTCCCGAAATCAAGGAAAACGTTCGCAATGCGTGCCTTGGAATCATCGGCGACGGCAGTTCTCTCATTAGGGCAACGGTTGGAATCATAATCGCCAACATCGTGGCTAAAGAGGGCATCAGTCAATGGCCGAAGCTGTTGCCGACGCTGTGTTCCATGATTGATTCACCAAATCCGATTCTTTGTGAGGTAGGTTTTGTGGAATTGTTCGCCAGGCGATGATTCCATTAAAGCAGGTATTTTCAGGGAGCCTTCACCGTCGTTCAGAAGGTGTGTGAAGATTCGGTAGAATATGGGAAAGATGAACAACGTATGCTGATAGATGCGCTTTTTGTGAAGTTGCTGCATTTTTTCAAATACCCCAACCCTAAAATAAGGTATTCTTCCTGACTTTGGCCATAGCGCTGTTCAAATTTAACATTTCTTCTTCAGAACTTTGGCTTTACAATGTGTCAATGGCTTTCTTTTGAGCAGAAGCACGTTTGTTGACAATTATATTGACATTTACTTGGAGAACCTATTTTCGTTGGCCCAAGATTCTGACAAGAACCTTCAACGACAGTTGTGTCGCGCACTGACGTTCCTTCTTGAAGCACACCTAGACAAGCTGATCCCGAATCTTCCAAATATTACGGAATATATGATTGTTCGAACTCAGGTATGTCGTTTTTTCTCGCTAAGCACTTTATGACAGACTTTCCTTGATGATTTTACTCTTAGCAGTTTTTTCGCCTTTTTCAGCCTTTCATGAAGCAGCATCACTATTTAAAATTAAACATTTCTTCTCTTTAATAAGTTTTTAATTCAACGTAGTGATTTCGTTTCTGATCAAGACCTTCGAGCGGATGTTTTAACTTAGATATTTACAGTGTTAAGTCAATAAAAAGCTTAAAAAATACTCATGCCAAGAAGGTAATATAGTCTATGGCAAGCCGTTCATTATTTCATGAATATTAAACTGTTTGTGATGTATTACTGTATGTTCTCTTTGTCGACGTATGAATGGTTTTTTAGGACACGGACGAGCAGACAGCGTTGGAAGCCTGTGAATTTTGGCTTGCATTTGCAGAGCAGCCACCCCTTTGCCACTCCGTCGTACAGCCTTTTCTGCCAAAGCTGATTCCGGTTTTAGTGCGGTGCATGAGATATTCAGAAATCGACGTCGTTCTTTTGAAAGTTTGTACACATGTTTCTTAATATCATGAATGTTAAAATATACTTGGTCAGGAAGAGGACCAGACCGTTCCGGACAAGGCGCAGGACATAAGGCCAAGGTTTCACAAGTCCCGGGCTCATCAACAGCAGCATCTTGCGGGCGAAGAATGTGAGGCACCTGAAGTATGTAAACTGTGCAGAAAGAGCCGTTATTAAAAATTCGTTCCTTCCTTTCGATGTTGGTGACTCATTTGAATTTAGGACTCATTTTATCGACGTGTGTCAGTCTTTATGAAGTCAGTGTGGCAGTTGGGAATTATCATCTTCTACTCAGAGGAATGACGATACGAATGTATATGCAATGTTTTGCGCTCTGAATTTTTCATTACCTTGATCATCCAAGGGAAAAAGGATTTTTTCTTTGCTTTCTGATATCATCCATGAAGCAACTCCAATACCCTTCGTTTATTTTGCCCATGAGCATAAATCATCTATTCAGTGACACCATATGTGAAATTTGTACGGACAGAGACCTTGTGCTTCCATCCGGGTTTGAAACTTTGATCTCAAAGTTAGAACCGCTTTAGAAGCAATAATGAATTCTGGAGAGGTTTATTGCCACCCCCTTTTAAAGAATAAGTTTGGTATAACTACTTATTTTCAAGGAATTGAGCGTTTTATTCTGTGCCCCGATGGCTTACTTTATAGCATGAGAAGTAAAAAATATAATTTCCAGGTATTTTTCCAGTTTTTAGTTTTAAACGAGCGTGGCTAATTCTTATGATAAGTTTCTACGGATTATATATTCGCTGGTGTTTGACCATGTGTTTGTTCAACTCAACAAACTGGTGCAATTTTGTATCAAAGCGCTATAGGTGCTAACACCTTGGTTCCATGACTTGATTGAACGGTCCCCTAGGCTGCTAAAAACAAGAGAACTGTGCGACTACACTGTAAATCCGTAGAATTGAGAAGAAATGGTTTGTTCTTACCAGTATTAATTTTTTGTATCAATAACGATCAATTACTAGTAATCCCAGAATATCTAGGGGTAATTTTTTAAATTTAATTTGTATATAGATTTCAGCTATTGTGTTTGGACTCCGTCGTACATGATATTGCGACATGTTGCAATGTTCTGCCTCAAAATGTGTCTGGTTTGTGTCGCTGAGCAATGAGTAGATTCTTTCTATTAGCATAGCTTTCATCTGTTATGATATAAATGTGACATCATCGACAGAAAATGTAGGAAGGATTTTCAATCAGGCTTACAGAGGCGATTTAATTCATTGTTGTATTGCTGTATCATATATTGTTTAACGAATTATTATATTGCGATTTTTAAAATTCCAGCTCTTCCATCGTCTATGATTATTTCTTGTGTATGACACATGATTATACCCCATTTTGCTAGATAGTATATGAGACTATTTTCTTTGTGCTTCAGTGCTGCTTGTAAGTTAACTCCTATCAAAATAATTCTTGCAGCCAAGCATCGAAGATGATGAAGACATCGAGGACAACGCACGCGACTATGAGGCCCTTTCCGATTGGAACTTAAGTATGTAAAAGTACAGTTGTTATGAGTAGTGCGATTGCTACATGCCAGGATTTTAAGGGAAATGTTCTGCAGCTTCGTTAGACGTGTTTTCAAACATATTCCGGGACGAGCTTTTGCCCACATTGTTGCCGATCCTTAAAGAAACCCTGTCTAGTGGGGATTGGGTCATCAAAGAATCTGGAATTCTTGCCCTCGGTGCTATAGCAGAAGGTACTACGAAGAAAAATGAGCTAATGCCTCGAACTGTGCTTTCGGTTTAGGTTGTGCGGATGGAATGGCACCTCACCTGCCAGAGATTATTCCATTCTTGCTTTCACGGCTTTGCGACCAAAAGGCACTCGTTCGGTCAATTACGTGTTGGACACTTAGTCGATACTGTCACTGGGTAGTGCAGCAACCACATGACAGATACTTCAAGGTTCTGATGCAGGAGGTATGCAATTTTACACTTGATCCACACTTGAATATTTTCCGTCACTCCAAAATTCTGCTTTATCTGCAATAGTGTTTTCTTATTAAAATGCTTCCATTTGCAGTTGCTGAGTCGCGTCCTCGATGTCAACAAGAAAGTGCAAGAAGCAGCATGCAGCGCGTTCGCCACTTTAGAAGAGGAAGCGTGCATGGAACTTGTACCGTATTTGCCGCAGATACTTGAAACACTGATCAATGCCTTTGACAAATACCAGGTGCTTCTTTACTATGTGCAAAATTTACCACTCACATAAGTGTTAATTTTTTCAGGCAAAAAATCTGCTGATTTTGTACGATGCGGTTGGTACATTGGCTGATTCAGTCGGCCAGTATTTAAACAGTCCTGTAAATTGTTGTTTTTATGTTTCAGTTTGATTGTGCTGGTATTTAGGAGTTCATCGAGTCACTGATGCCGGCACTGATCCATAAATGGAGCATCTTACGCAACACAGACCGCGAGTTGTTTTCTTTACTTGAAGTAAGACCATGTTTGACCATCTTTTGTAAGCGCTGCACTATCTTGCTCGATTTCAATTACTTTCAGGGACTTCCCTTAGTCTCTTAACAGTTATTTTCACGTGTTTGTCTTGTTTGATAACGTATTTTTTAAAATGTTGTCCTAGCTGATAAGGAAAGATGAGTCAACCTCACTATGGTCGTTTCTGAAGCCATCATGCTATATTATTCTCAGCACTCGTAACTAGTCCAATCAACGTCTTTTCACCCATCTTTCGGTTGCTCTTCTGAGGGCAGTACTGTTTTTGTCCGTAATTTAGTACATTCTTCAGATTTTCAGCGAATTTATTTTTGAGCTTTGTTAGCGAATACTATCTTTATTTTAATGGCACTTTAATGTTAGCTAGCTTTTTTTACCATGTAATGTTTCTAACATGTTTTGTATTTGGTGTATGAAAGTCTCTTATGCTTTCTTTCAGTGTATGTCCAGCGTCGCTGTAGCTTTACAAAACGGTTTCTATGCTTATTCTGAGCCCGTGTTCAGGCGATGCATTACTCTTGTTGAAGAATGTCTGCAGCATTCAATGAACGTAAGTTTTTCAACTTTTCACTTTATTTACTTGTATGTAATTTTGTATGTAAAATTTTTTGTTCATCTTAGCGATTCATTCTGTTATTATACCATACCATAACCATATATTTGAAGACATGCAATAAAACAGCGAATCAGGGCCTCAGGCGGAGACGGCATAACAGTGAACTTCGTGGAATCAGGAGGTGAAACTCCAAGATATTAGCGCGTTTGTTTTCAAAGGATCTGAAAATTCGAGATGATTGGGCTATCGCACAGGTGATTCTACTCCACAAAAGTCGAGACAGGATTTGAAGAACTACAGTCTAATCAGTTTGTTTGCAATCATTTACGAGGTTCTGATGAACAGGCTTCGAAGAAAAGCTGCAAGCTGCGCAGCTCAAAGGACCAAAAGCAGGAAGCAGAAGTAAATTTAGTATGATGGATCATCTCCAGGCTTTGCAACAAGTAACGAATATCATCCCTCTGCCTGCGGTTTGCTGACTTTGCAATGGCTTTTTGCTTAGTCTATATCCGTTCTCTACTGGATTAACTTGGAAGAAAACATACAGAAATATAATTTGCAAGAATGCGGCTGCTTGTGCATAGCTTCACGAATGTACAGACACGTTTGAAACAGACAAAGGTGTTTGACAGGGTGATGCAGTATCACGGAAGTTATTCACAGCAAAGCGAAAAGAGGTTTTTGGGTGGATCTAACCAAAAATGGGTACTACGTTAGCTATCTGCGGTTTTACGGATGACTTTCAAATCCTCATAGCAGCGCCAGAAGAAAAAAGAAGAATCCACAATTTTTACGACGCCGGTATAAAGTTGACTAAAAGTAAACGTGAAGAATATTACGGTCAAGTTTAACAAATACGTGCCCCCGCCACCGGTTGAATTCAGCGGACTTAGGCTTGAAGAAGTGTAGAACTGTGTCTATCATGTACAGCTCATGTTTAAATAGTTAATGGACCATGTCAAATCAACAGAAGACCGAAATTGCTCCTATCCGGAGAAATGTCCTTGCCGTTGAAACGGAAAGTATCTGATCACTGTGTGCTCCCATTGCTAACCTTTGGCTGCGAAAGACCTGTAGACCCTCAGCTTGTAATCTATTCATAAGCTACAGACACCGCAACGAACACTGAAAGTCGCATGTTGGGAATAGCAAAAGAGATAGGAAGAGGAATGTATGGATTAGGACACAAACAAGAGTCTGAGATGTCATTTCTTTAGTGAAGAAATTAAAGTGCCAGTGGGCTGGACACGTTGCAAGAAGAACTGACCGTCGTTGGACTAGAGAGACGTTAGACTGGGTTTCGAGAGAGTAAACGGTCGTAGGAAGACCTTCAGATCGATGGCAGAATGAACTGACGAAGTACGCCGGATCAGGATGGGTGAAATTGGCAGGTAACTGAAGTTTTTGGCAAAAATCTTTGAGAGGCCTTCATCCAGTAGGCCTTCAGCAAAGACTGATCCATTTATCTAACCGTCTTAATGATTTTAATTGCTTCAGAGCGTATCGCCTATGTTGGATTCATGTTTTTCGTTAGTTTTAATTTCGAAGCGACCTCTAAATACAAACGTTCATCATTATTTCCAGAGAATCTGTTATTTTGAAATAGATCTTTTTAATTCCAATAATCTTAAGCGCTCAATCCACTAACAGACAGTAGCAAAAGTGAAGACCGGGCAATTCAGGTTCTATTGCATTCATTTCCTGAGAGATTATGCACCAGTTTATTAAGGCTTATGCTGGCAGGAATCATCATCATCAATTTAGACGATGATCAAGCTGAAACAGCTTCATATTTCTTTAGGGCATTATTGCGGACTTTAGCTTACATCCTTACATCTGGTTGCAATATTTTCCTCTAAAATAGATTTGTTTCACGCATAAGGAAATCCCTTAAACATAATCGCATCATGATCCAGGTTGTCACATTGACTAGAAAAATTACACTCGATGGCGGCACTGCGCATTGGCAATGCAGTACTTTGGTCGAGTCCTATTTTCCTCGACACAAACTCGAGGCTTTCAGAGATTTAGCATGCAGTTACCGAAGAAAAGAATCTGGTCATGTATCAAAAGTATGCAAATATTTTTTTGGCGTTCGTTTTTATTATTGGATCCGTGAGCAGATTATTTTTAAACAAGATGATTTTATTGAAATAGACGTATAGATAAGAGAATTGCTTGTAAATAAATGTGTCTAGACGCAATGAAGTTTTGCATTTATACGTGACAGTTTTTAAGGCGGCGCAGAATCATGAGTCAGATTCGCTGGACAAAGATTTGTTAACCGTAACGTTAGATCTTCTCAGCAGCATGGCGGAAGGCCTTGGAGCCCAAATAGAACCGTTAATTGCTGTCAGCAATTTATTTGTGCTGCTCTACCAGACCTCGAAGGTATTGTTGTTTATAGCTGATGAATTGTTATTTACTGATTAATGCTGCTCTATTTAATGATGATAGGACTCTCTACCGGAAGTTAGGCAGAGTTCGTTTGCTTTACTTGGCGACCTTGTTAAAGTTTGTTATTCTCACGCAGCTCCATTCGTAGACACGTTTATGCCAATTTTGGTGCAAAACTTAAATCCGGACTACATTTCTGTTTGTAATAATGCGATATGGGCATTAGGGGAAATTGCACTTCAGAAAGGTAAGCTCCATGTTTATGTAAACGGCGATTTGCAGTAGGTTTTGATTAGGTCCTGGCATGCGACAGTTCATCGATGACGTCCTTCCACGTTTGATATTTACGCTTAACAAAGAGAATTCTCCAAAAACCCTTGTAGAAAATACAGGTGACGCAATTCATGTCATTTTTCATTCAATTTAATTAGGGATTGTTGTAGCAATTACTATCGGTCGGCTGGGGTTGCATTGTGCGGAAGAGGTCGCGCCGAGTCTCTCTCAGTTTATTCGCACCTGGTAAGTCATTGTTGTTTATGTTAGTCTATTAACTACTAGCGTAAGAGCATAAGGACCGTTATTGAATAAACGGAACTGGCATTGATCATTATCAAAGTATGAAAATGTTCTTTAATAATGACTTATGCTAATTCAGTCAAAACGTCTGCACTGTATGTAATAAAGATTTAACGTTGTGTTGCTAGCCATGAAATCAGAAGGTATCATTTATGCCCTGTGGTAAATTAAGCTTATTTGGCATGATTCGGCATGACAAACTCTTTCAACACAGCTGCGGCTCGAAACCATAACGAAGTCTGAACGCCGTTCTACAAAAGAGGGAAAATTCGTATTGCTTTTCCCTTTATATGATTATCAATGATTTCCATTCCATTCAGTTTTTGAAATGCCTGCTCTTAAATGTCATTGATGCATGGTTTCGTCGTTGTTTCGAGGGAAACATGTAAAATCCTTTTTTCTTAAGTTTGTGAATTCTTCTGTTCAACAATAGAAAGTAAACTGCGTCGTATGAACAAAGTCGATGGCGCACTCGTTCACTTGGCTTTACAGTTTCCGGCAGACTGCTATTACAGTAGGTAATCTCTGCACGATACAGGTATCTTTTAAATTTTAGGAAATTGACGAAAGTAAAGTGCAGTTTCTTTCCCACAACAAAGCTCGGAACTAGCTGCATTAAAATTATTTATTCGATGATCTTGCAGAATTGCAACTGAATCTTGATGAGGATAATTTGCTCTACCCTTTTATATACCTTCAGAACGGTGTTATGCACTAGGTATTCAACTTTGTTCAACCGCTTGTGCAGCCTTGCATTGAGTTGCCTAGGGGACATTTAACCAGACCACGGTAACATGACGTTTTACTATATCTTTATATACTACCCCATAAACGTCAAGCATGTCAGACAAATAACGCTGGAGTATGTCAGATAGCATACAGTTTCTTTACGGGAGTTACGCCTGCCCCTTTACTCATAGTTGCCCGGAGGCCATTTTATCAGGCCATGGTATTTGAGCATCTACAGTGTTAGATGCACATTTGAATCACTTTGTTCGCTTAGCCACTGGAGCAGTTAGTAGCAAGGGAATTGTGCAGTACGCCGTGAAATTTGTGTTGGAGGAGTTATGTATTGTATCTTATCTACTCTTAATATCATTCTAAAGTTATAGTCAAAGTTTGACTACCGCAATTCGAAGTACATTTTCTAACTGTTTTGTTCAAGGTTCAGGCTCATTACAGTACTGTTCTATTTAATCTTTGTACTGTTTTAGGTGTATTTCGCTGCGCAATATCCGTGACAACGACGAGAAAGAATCAGCGTTTAGGGGATTGTGTATGCTGATAAGTGCTAATCCGATGGGAGTTGTGCATGATTTTATTTTCTTGTGCGACGCTATCGTATCGTGGGTGAATCCGAAACCTGATTTAAAAAACATGTTTTCGAGGGTATGAGAGTTGCGAAGTTCGAAAATCAGCTGGTGAACTTGCCTGTCGTTTTTCAGATATTGCATGGCTTCAAAGTTCAGCTTGGAGATGAAAATTGGCAGCGATTCATTGCCCAGTTTCCTGCGCCTCTTCGCAACCGATTGCAAGAACAATATGCGATATGAACGAGACTTACTTTCATTTCAGTGAGGTAAAACTCTCATGCTGATGTTGTCATTTTTTCGCTGTAGTCGAAGTTATTTTTATGACCACGCTATATTTTTTTTATTTTAAGGCATGACGTGGCTCGCCAATGCAACAACTTGTCTCTTCAGTTTTGGCACTATGTGAACTATCCAGACGTGTTGGTTGACTCGCACTTAATGGATAGCGACCGTTTTTCGAAGCTTGAATGTGGAAGCAGCTACGGATTTGTCTCTACTGGCAGAAGACCATGTTTAATTAACCGATCTTACTCTAAGCGAAGCGACGAGTTCTCTCTCTACTGATATTTTATTACTATTTCGTTCGGTGTGCTAAAATCTGTATGCATGCATTGCGCTGAGTTCTCATAGACATTTTCTTCTAATATTCCAACTGTACTGAACAATGATTATTCGTAAGCTGCATGTGACGGTGTGATTTTGTGTAGCGCTTTAAATACAAAGTGTAAAAACGTATGGTCGCAAAATGTATGATGGACCTCTGTAGAATGACGTCATTCTTTAGCGACAATCTTTTAATTTGACGGAAATTTAAATCAGGATGAAGCTGAGACGATGAAAGTTGTATTTTGAAAACAAATTTAAATTTTATTACTGGAAATACGTTACAGTTATAATTTTCTTAACCAGTCGAACTGACCATGGCGAAATTCGCCAATAAAATAGTTAAAAAAATACGTTATCAGAGGCGCCACTAATGAAAAAAATTAATCAGAATTTTTCTCGTTCTGTTTCGCTGATGAGAGTTTCGATTTTTCCGATAGGACTGAAGCTTGATGGCGACATTCTGTCGTGTTGTTAAGACTTCTTCGATTGATCACATTTGCCCAAAGAAAATGACAATACTTGATGCTGCTGGGTATCTAGACACTCAGAAAACACTGAAAGGCCTTGGGTACCGGTTCAGAGTTGTTGCCTAATTTCTTAGATACAGTGTGATTACTGGCCATTTGTCCCAAAGGAAGAGGTTTTCAGCAAAATATGAAGTTCGATGAGAGTAACTTTGTTTTTCGGTACACTTGGCCTAAAAGGTAAATTACGATTACTATTAAAATTGAGTACAGCTGAAGCGGATTTCTGAAAGAAAGTGAAAGTAACCCTGTGTATTTATGTATCAACAGACTTCAAACTAAATTTCCTTCGTAAGATTTTAATTCAGCATTTCAATAAACACTCGATTTAAAATTGGCTTCTCAGTTACTCTACGTTCCTTAAATGAAGTGTAGTAGCATTAGGATCAGAAGTGGCAAGTAGTGTCTCGGGTAGTCAACTGGAAAGATTTTTGACAATTCGTATTCGTTAAAATGATAAGTGAAAGTTGTGTTTATTGACAAATGTTTATCTAAGCTGTAATACTGCTGACATGGTAAGAGTTGTTCAACTGAATGTGGCTTAAATTTCTGTTGTATTTTAGAACGGTTGGCTATGGAAAAAATAGTAACCGCGCTTCCTAGTAACTAAATTCCTAGTAATTTTTAAGGGGTTTTATCTCGACAGAACATCACGTCTTAAGAGCAGGCGGAAGAATTAGATTGTGTCATATTACCCAAATTCAGAGATGTAAAACCTTTTCATTATTTAGTCTCACATTCAAAGAGGATGACGACTAAGGGACAAAATGAACAAATCTAAATGAAGATTAGAAATACTTTGAGGAAACGGAAACAGTATGCCACATTCTGACCAACATAATACGGCATAATATAACGCTGCATAAAATTTTGCAGCACTATCTTCATTTTGTTGAATTGGGGTTGGCTCGTTTTCGTCTGGTGTGAAACAAGTTACCTTGCAATAATAGAGAATGATAAAAGAAAAATTGCCATGCTGAGAGCAGCCATTGTTTCTGTAA